GAAAGGGTGAGATAAAGTCGGGTAAAAACATCACAAAGCTTTCCTATCATTTTTAAGCTTTTTTCTTGATTCAGAATCACTTGGTTGTGTAAATCTTTGACTGTTTTCCAGAGTTGTGACAAATTAATTCTGATAATTTCTTGTGTTAAATTGTGTTTGTGGAAGAACAAGAATTTGGAGCCACCTGCTCTCCACTTTGCTGATATCACCCTTACCTCCGTTTTTTGAAAGATATTTTCACTGGGTATAGAATTCCAGGTTAACAACCTTTTCTCCCACCAGTACTTTCAAGATGTTTCATCACTGTCTTCTCACTTGTCTTGTTTCCAATGAGAAATCGGATGTCATCCTTATCTTTCTCTTTATGTAACATGTCTTTTCCCCCTGCTTTTATGATTTTCTCTTTATCACTGGTTTTGAGAAATTTTATTATGTACCTTGGTGTAGTTTTCTTCATGTCTCATGTCTTGGAGTTTGTTGGTTTTGGGGGTTTATAGTTATCATACAATTTGGAAAATTTATGGCCATTACTTCTTCACACATATTTTCTGTCTCCCTGCTCCTTTCATTTGGGATTCCAATTACATACATATCAGGTTGCTTGAAATTGTCTCACAGTTCACTAATACTCTTTTAATTTTTAAACATCTCCTTTTCTCTTTTTGTTTCATTTTAGATAGTTTCTATTGCCATGTCTTTAAGTTCACCAATGTTTTCTTCTGCAACATATAATCTACCATTAATCAAATGCAGTGCATTTTTAAAATCTCAGATATTGTAGTTTTCACATCTATTAGTTTTTTTTAGGAGTTCAGCTTTTTTTTTTTTTTTTCTTTCTTTTTTCTTTTAAAAGATGACTGGTAAGGAGATCTTAACACTTGGCCTGGTGCTGGTCAGCACCACGCTCACCCAGTGAGCTAACTGGCCATCCCTATATAGGATCCGAACCTGTGGCCTTGGTGTTATCAGCACTGCACTCTCCCGAGTGAGCCACAGGCCAGCCCTAAGAGTTCAGCTTTTTATTGAACATGTTACAAAAGAAGTTTAGTTGAAAAGACTAAAGCCCAAGTCATAGGCAGACTCCTCAGATTCTTTATTCTTTGCTTCTACTTTCTTTTCCTCAGCTGGGGCGGCAGCGGTGGAAGGGACAGGATCTCCTGCTGGTGCAGCCCCTATGTTGCCGGTGAAGCTCCCAATGTTGACATTGGCCAGGGCCTTTGTAAACAAGCCAGGCCAGAAAGATTCAACATTTAAACCGGCTGCTTTAATGACGGCATCGATCTTATGTTCTGTGACAGTCACCTCGTTGTCCTGCAGGATGAAGGCCGAGTAGATGCAGATGAGCTTGGAGACAGAGGAATGGCACGCGCACAGAGGAATGCCACAGGCTGGCGGCTGCTGGGCGTGGTGTTAGTCTCTGGATGAATTGAGGTCCTAACCCCAACGTGGCCTCAACTTCCTTGAGAGGACTGAGCACCTTGGCAGCAGCTGAGGAAACTTATATCTATTAGTTTGATTAGGGTCTTTTTAAACCTTCCACTTTT